ATTGAAAATTGATCAAACTTTTTTACCGCAATCAACCTATCGCGTGCTTGCTTGCTATGACTATCGATAAAACAGAGAGAGACGAACCAATTACGATGTTATAAAAGAGCGTACCTGTACGTTTTGCCTCAGTTCGTCTGTGGAGTGAATGCGGTGGTTGTCACATCGTTCAACATCGTAGTAGACCCCGTTCACACTTATAGAGACAGATAACAGCGCCAAACGGTTTGTGACGAGACAACGTTGAACTGCAGCGTTGAAAGAAACTACGCTCACCAACATCTATGCATGTACGAACCCACACTACTGAGCGGACGGTACAGCACAAATAAAAACACGAAGCGGTGTCATCACTCATCGTTTTCATTCGGCTTCGACAGCTTCCGATTGTGTTTGCATTCGCCAGCGTTGACAAATAGGATATTGATCATTTTTCAAACGTAATTTTTGAATAGAATCCTTATGCGTTGACCAAGGAAGACGGCATATTTTACAGCGTTTGTTTAGGAATGATTTCGATACGTTGTATTTCCAGTGGCTGAGGTGTTGGAATATTTTTTTAGGGAGAGGGAATGTTTTCTTTCATCTTTACTTCTAGGGTAGATGTACCAGTTATGGCTATATGTTCCTATTATGGTGTGTTCCAATTATGGCCTTTGGGAATTCCATAGGCCATAACTGGAATACACCATAATAGCAACGTATGGCCATAACTGTTATATCTACCCTATGCTTATAACGATTATTTTGAGCAACAGCTTCACAAATCATCCATTGACCATTACTATTAGTGATTTGCTTTTTACTGATACCCGTTATGATATTGGAAACTCTTTAATTCGAAAGCGAAACACATGACAAGCCCACCATGATTCAAACTTGGATGTGTGATTGTTTTCTCAAGTGTTTCTGTTGCGTATAAAGTTGTAATGATTGAAAATCGGAGCAATCACAACAAAGTGAGAATCTTGTTATCGCAATATAATGATTATGACATCAAGGATGATATCGTCATCTTTCCTCGGATGATCATCAACGTCTGCACTGGCATCTGCTGACACCTGTCAGTTATTGAGCCCTGGAGGTGAAGTTGGCGGGGAATTTCCAACAGTTTGAATGTGCATTCACCAGATGGCACTGCACAGCTAAAAAAAAGTAGTGTAAATTTCCGTTACTATGATGCACATAAATGGAGCGTCATATATCATACAAGTTTAGATTATAGATCGTGTAAATTTATGAGACATGTCATGTAATATCCCATATATTGTATGCAACTGTCCACTTTTGTTTGCAACATTTCTTGCAAGTTGCTAGTTTACGTGAAAAGGAAGTTTACATGTATGAATGTTTGCATGCATGGATGTTTACATCGCCAGTAAAATTCAGAATTTTTTGGTGTGTGTGATCACATAAGGGCGGTGTATCCATTGCCTTGTTCAATGAATTGATAAGTGAGATATCCTGTTAATTAGATATCTTTGACCGTAGTCTCGTTCCAACATCAAAACTCCAATCAAATACATAGATGGTTGCTGGTTTCGACAAAGATGCGCAGATGGACAAAATGTATTGAATGGTGGGCTGTTCAGTTGAGGATTTGGCTTCTAATTGAATGCATCGTACTGCTTCTGTCAATACTCACCACCAGATAGTGATAAGCTTTCAAATGCATTGGCTAGTGGAAAACCGATTTGAGAATGTATGGCGAAATATTTTTTTATTAAAATATAATTAATTGTGTACTTTGTTCCATAAATTGTTTATACACAATATCGCTACAAAAAAAATAATTGTAGAAATTTTCTCATTGAAAGAAGAAATATTTGAAGAGAAATTCGGCAATTTTCCGGAAATCTCCATACTAAAACTTGGTTTAGCAACCACTAGCAGTGTGACAACTGTCGAATTCGATGGTGAAAAGTAATACAGTATATCAACTGTGATAGGGGAAATGTATGTAATGTCGGCCTAAATGTCCCTAATTTGGGCCCATACATAAATTCAGCAATCGACTAAATTTTCAATAGCGACCAAAAATATCCATTAGTACCGTCCTAATAACGCGTTCATCTAGATAAAATTGATAAATAACAGACTTTTAGCGATAGGCCCAATATTAGATCCATAGGCCAACATTAGAGTCATTTCCCCTATATAAAGTTTTTTTTTTAATTCGGCTGAAAGTATAACGCAGTTCGAAAAAGTAGTGTAAATTTCTGTTCTGTATCATGCACATAAATAGAGCGTCACATATCATAGATGTTTACATTATAAATCGTGTAAAGTTGTGATACAATTAATGAAAAGTTGCAAATATTGTATACAGAAGCCCATCTTTATAAACAACATTGCATACAAGTTGCTACTTTGCGTGAAATGAAATACAAGTTTACATGAATGAATGTTTACATCACAATTAAATTGTTTTGAACAATCGTCCAAAAGAATACTTTTATAATTTTTCCTCGAACGGTATCGATCAATCCAATATTCACATGTTCCATGTCCTCCCTAACTTAGCGCCGTATAATCTCTGTAATCTGCCAAGCAACACTAACGCGAAAAATGAGAACATGCATTTAAAGCGAGGGGGACGACTCTATCTACAATGCAGAAAAGATTGTGTTTTGCTGTGGCTATCTGCACGTACGCTGAGTAGATAGAAGGAAGATTTATGTCGATTTTGAAGATTTCCTGCAAAAAGATGAAGCGCGATGCAAGTAGATATGAGAAATGAAAGATGATTTTTCGAAGATTGATTTGCTAGTGTGAGATTTTTTGAGCATCTAGAATTGAGATTTAGATGTGTCGCCCCCCTCGATTTAAAGTTCAACGCAGCTAAAGGGTGTTACAAGCAAAAAGTAGTCACACAAAATTGTACAAACAACAAAGTGTAGAATAATAATGTTTATAAATTAAGCATCTATTTTCAAGGTTGCAAATACTCCTTTCAGCTAAAATAATGTTTTTCGGAATAATAAAACCAAAAGATGGTATGATGACATGTTTTACTAGTAACTTACAAGAATAGGTTACACAGTATGCGTTTGAAACATAAAACCTGTAAATTTTGCTTTCTATGAGTCACAATCAGCGATTTGCTGATCGCTGAGTGAGTGAGTGTGTGAAAAATCGCTGATTGTGACTCTCATGAAGTGAAATAAACAGGTTTCAAACACATTCTTTGCCACCTCTTCTTGTATCTTACCAATTCAAAATATGATCATAGCATCTAATTATTTCATAATTAAAAAAAAAAAATTGTTTAAGCTGAAATGAGTATTTGCAACCTTATCTATGTTATGTTATTTTGGCAGCTTACTCTCACATGAAGCTCTGATATGCTTTGCCAATTACGAATTAATGAACCCCTTCCATTTAGTTTTGCACAACCTTATTGTATTGTTAAGTTAAGTCATTTGAAAATGTACGCCATTTTTTTCACATTACCAACTGATTCTGGGATGATGATGTCATAAAGAAAATTGCTCTTCAGCTCACCACTGCTTAAGTACCCGACCAAATAATTTTCTTGAAAATTTCATCTGATTTTTTTCCTAAGTTGTTGTGAAATAGTTCTGTTCCGGTTGCAGTATGATCGAATGTGCGTACAGAATTTTAAAATGCTGATTCTCTTGTATGGTAGCAAACTTAAAACTGAATGCAAAATTCAAAAACCATAAATAGAGATGTTTAAAGTGCACGCTAAACAGAAATGCACTACATTTGATTTAACTACTTTTTGCTCGTTCCACCCTTTATAGCAACATGTTTATCATAATCAATGAAAATAAAATGTAATTTTACCACCACTAATAGTAGTATCGCAATCGTTGAATCGGCGCCACATATTGGAATATAAGGGTCTGTTCATAAGCTACGTAGACAGTTTAGGGGGGGGGGGGGGAGTTGACAATTATCCACAGCCCATATAAATTAAAAAAAAAATGTATGGACAATTGTCTACGCAGAGGGAGGGGGGGGGTCAAGAATACAAAAAAACTGTCTACGTAGTTAATGAACAGCCCCTAAAAGGGTATAATAAGTTCCATATGCATTCACAAATTAAAAAACAAAGCAACTGATTTTCTGTTATAAGCGTCCCTTCATTCATCCAAGTCATGCACCCACTATGGCAAAGTTACTCGGGACACAATCAATATCATTCAAAAGTGCTATCCTCAGCATAATCCGTTCATTGCTCAACGAATTCATAGAATACACTGACTGACTGAACTGATGTTAATTGTGCTGCTTGAGCTTGTAGCAATCGACGCTTCGTTTCTATGAACCAGAACCCGAACGAGAACACTTCGGCTACACTTCGTGCACGTAAACAATCGCTTCGGCTTCAGTTTGGTTTTCATTTCACCCTCCGCTCCAACTCGAACCCACCGCCTTTCCTTCCACCCAACACACGCACACAAGCACCACTCAAGTCGGCGCGTGACGTCACACCACCAACTTCCGTGGCCGAACTGTCGAGCGCGCGTGGTTGAAATGTTGTGCCGGGCCTCCACGTGCCCTAGAAAATTTCTTGCCTCACACGCGTTGCTCGAAGCAAGCCAGGCAGAGCACAGAGAGCGTCGTCCTCTTCGTTGTTCACCCAGTTCCACACGCTGCCACACACTACTGCCTCCTTCCGATGCTTGCGCCGGGGTCGGGGGGTGGCTGATCGTCGGACTTTCGGCGTTCGGTGTTTGGTTGTGAACGGGCGCGGAGTGTATGTTAGCCCCGTCCTCTCTCTCTCTCAAACACTCCCGTCGTCCGTCACTGTGTTCCCGCTCAGGTTTAGGTTGGTTTGCCGTAAGCTGCTGCTGCCACCATTGCCGTCGCCGTTTCGTTGTGTGTGAAATGTTACGTCCGCTGAGGTCCTCCCCACCCCGCACAACCATGACCACTTTTGTGCTGCACCCTTTCCTCTTCGTCCCTCGTCAACAGTGGGGTTCCTGCCTGCCCTCGCCCTGTACACTGAATAGCGCGCAGGCAGCCTATCGTACCGAGAGAAAGAGCAGAACTGTGCGGTGTTGTGCGGATTCGGTTGCGCGGAAATTTATCATTTTCTGTACACAAGCCCCAGTACCCAGAGTCGACGCGTATGTACGTTTATAGTTTCGGATGGAAGTCAGTCACAGCAGCAGCATCTCGAGTGAGAAGTACTTTTTTTTTCGGTTGAAAGTTTGGTGAAGTGTTGGAAGTTGCAATTGCAAGTCCAGTGCGGTGCAGTACAGTGCAGTGCAAGGTTAGAGTTCGATCGGTGTAGGTCTTGGCTAAGATCTGGCAGCAAAGAAGATTGGAAGCTTTGATCCAGAAGAAAAAGGAGATTTCAGAAGTTAGATCCTGGGATTGGAAGCAAGCATATTTTGGAACAAAGATCAATAAAAGGAGTTTGAGGACACGTTACGCATTGCGTGTGTGTTGTGGGTGGTGAAGAAGCGTTACGCAGTTGTAGCATAAAAGTGAGTCACGGAATCGGAGGAGATTGGACGCCTCCAAGAGTGAGGGAGAACGGGCGATTGTTCAAGGGGATCGGCTCGAAGCGCGACGTGGCTAACACAGCAATCTAAATTTTATAAGAAAAGCCTAGGTCAATAATGTGTATAGTGATGTGTTTTGCTGATACATGAGAGTCGGGTGCTTAGTCGGTTGATTTATTTTTGTACGGCCTGTGTGTCGTAGCCGTCATCATATCTCTCCGAAGTGTGCGGGGGACTCCGCGGGAAACAAGTGGGGTGGTTTGTTTTTCGCTGATATTTTTGAAAATTGATGCCCACGAGATAAGGTGTGTATGCGATCGAACGAGAGTGAGTAAGCCAAAGTCAGTCAGTATATTTGAAAATAACTTTTCCGCGAACATCCACCTAAGCGAGTGCTAACGGATTTGAACGGTGGAAGGACGTGTGTTGGTTTTCGTCTAGTCGGCAAATTGGTGGTTCGCGATTTGTTGACCACCGCATCGCAGTGTGTCTGTGTAGTTTGAAGGTGATTTTTCGTACTGCGACGACACCGAAGACGTTGATTATTTGCGATGTTCAAACTGTTTGAAGGCAACAAAATAGACACCTATACCACCGCTTGATTTTCGTCAATGGTATCGTTGCAGAGTTGAAGGTAAGTGTACGACAAAACTCGCGAATGCTTATATTTTCCAAGGCGATAACGTTTGGTAGAAATGTGTCAATGCTAAATATTTGGCCGAAAAACAGAATGAGCACGCCATTTTTTGACCTTCGCAAAAATCGCCCATCTCTAGAGAAAGAGAGACGGACACACACACCGCACACGCCCGTTTGATTGTGGTGCTGCAGAGGAGGGGGGGGGGGGAGTGAGAGAGAGAAGTGGGCCTAGGGAAATGAGGCAACCCCTCGGTTAACCTTGAATATCGTTTGCCCAAAGAACAAGAGAGCGACGACGCAACCGACGACCGTCACCACCAGGAGGAGGAAGAAGATGAGTGAATCGATATCCGTGTGCTTTGGGTGGCAAACCCACGCACACAAAATGTCGGAGTGAAATTTTCGACAAAGAGAAGAGAAGATCCCTGCACGATTGAAACGCCATCTAGGGACGTGGTATGCAGCTGAATCGAGGAGGTCCCTTCCAAGAATGCAGCCTCGGACAAATTCGGAACAGACCGTTACATGTTCGGAATGTTTTGGATTGACTTGAATTTCGAATATGTTTCATGGGATGGTCAACAGCAACGATCTAGAATTTTTAAATGCAAGGATCAATTGAATGTTTTTTTTAAGAGTTGGCTCAGTATTACTAAAATCTATCAAGTTTAAAAATGCATCGATAAAATTTTAAATCAATATGAAAGCATTCTGAGATTCAATAATTTTAATTGAATTTTACTTCATTTGTTATCTACCGCGACAATGTAAAATTTAGTTGAAATTTCATGTGAATTTCAGTTGACATTTCAAAATGTTTCGTAGAAATATGGAATTTTGTCGTAAGGGCTTTGAAATTTGTAAGACTCAGATTTTGTCATGTCTATTTCAGTAAGCAAAAATGGACCAAAAACCTCAAATTTTGTTTGATGTTTGAATCTAATACTTGTTTCAAATTTTGTTTGATGTTTGAATCTAACACTTGTTTAGAGTAAACTGATCGTTCCGCTCTTGATATATGTAGTTGATATAAAAATAAGTGATCCAAATTCTGATGATCATTTATTTGAGAGAGGCATCAGAAATCTCATATCATTCTAACTGGAATTACAGATTTTTTTTGAGCAATCAAATGATAAGTACAAATTATCTAATAAGAGTTTGTGGAACATTTAAAAAGAAATCATCAATAATTCTGTGAGTAGTTTTTTGCTATGTAAATCCTAGGTATAGGATCCCCAATTATAATAAATGATCCATACTGAACGAATCGTTTGAACAATCTCGTATAATTGCGCTAAGGGTTCCCGTAAAACCAAATTCCAGAGAAAACTTTATTGGAATATTTAGGGGAGCATGCGTTAAAGTGGTTGAATGTGTGCAAGTTTGGTCTCTCTCTGCTTGACGCTCTTATGGGAGCTATCGCCTGCTCTCTACATGGTGTTCACAGTTATTAACTATATTGTTTGGCAAACATGCCCAGGAAAGCCGAGAAAATTTACTATCAGAAAGATGTCCTAGACCGGAAATAAAATCCGCCGCCTCCAGCTTGGTAATACCGTGCCTTTACTGACTTGGCTATCTAAGGCCCCTTAGCAAGCCGCTTAGCAAGATCAGAGAAAGGAGTTTCAGGAAAATCGCAATTTTTTCGTTGCTTACTGAATTAAGTTTTATGAGAAAGATCCGGATATAGTTCAAATTCTTAAAATGTTAAATCTGATGTTTTTAATGAATGTTTACACAGATAAAATTATGAATTTTAATTGTGATGTGAACATGCATTCGCGTAAACTTCTATTTTATTTCACGCAATCGAGCCACTTGTAAGCAGTGTTGTTTATAAATATGGGCTTTTGTATACAATATTTGCAACATTTCATGAAATGTCTCAGAACTTTACACGATTTATAATGTAAATTTACATGAAAGGTGACGCTCCTTTTATGTGCATCATATTGAACAGGAATTTACACTATTTTTCGAATTGTGTACGATTACCAAGAAACAAGCCTGGAGGAATAGCATTCGTCGTGATTTTCAACTGTTCAATTCTATGTTTGAAACATACTGTTGTTAGGTCGTATCGTTGGAAAGAGATTATCATTTTCAGGCTTATTTCACGTAAGTGTCTTTGCTTACGGTATGTCCTCTTCATACAGCGATAATGTGATTTCTAACCGGTACATCAATTTGATTTTGCTATTGAGTGGAACCCTATACAAACAAGATCTAGAAGGGATGGTGAATACCTTACATACATACATACATACATTTCTATGTTCGGATTTTTTACGACCAAAATATCCATTTATTGCGAGTTGAAACATGACTCTGCATTTAGTCCCGAAGCAGTCAGTAGTATAACGGAGCAGGTGAGAATGTGAAAGAATTAAAATAAACAAACAATCTCTAACGAGTGCTTACAATCATAAACTGTTAAGCAGTTTTTGGTTCAGTGATAGAAGCAGTCGTATTGAAAAAAAAAAAAAAGATTTTCTCCATATCAATTCCTCTCTTTTGGGTATAACAAACTTTAGCTTCCTTCATCGATCTGTGTGCTGAAAATAACTGGGGATGTCTTGACATAGCCGTGAGGATGCAAAGAAAAAGTCTAAGAAGAGAATCTCAGGACGTAATGCTTGATTTCACGTCTCACTTTTCAAATCGACTCTCTCTTTCGTAAATAACTCGGCTACGAAAACGTTTTCTGTCATCTGTGTCGTATTAGATGCTAGATTTTTGCTTCTTTCATCGAACTGTGCGTCGATAATATCCGCAAATATCATAACACAGGTCCAAAGATGTAGATAGGATCGGTCAATGTAGATAGGATCTATTGAAAAGTGGCACGAGGTTTCCTGGTTTGTTTTGTAACACGATGTTATCCATTTGTCAACTTGTCACTCCCAACATAGTTTACGCATTTTTGGGTAGTTTTTAAATAGAGTGCACAGTGCGATGGAAGAAGGAACGATCTGACATCGAATACTACAAAAACGTCAGGAAACGTTTTTGTACCCGAGTTATTAACGAAAGAGAAAGTCCATGAAGAGAAGCGATCAATGTAGATTGGGCTATTTGAAAAGTTACACTAGATTTCTCGGTTTGAGTTTACAGTAAAACTGAAATCTAAATAAATATTTAAAAAGGTTCTATTTGATTTGATCCTTTATCTTCATCCACTTTCTCTTTTGATAACCGCTTCTAAGCAAATAGATTTCGATATTTATGATAGTTTGATAGGAGGAGGTTCCAATCTAGCGTCAAAAACGTCAAACAAATGTTCTCCTAGAGTTCTTCTTTGAGTCAAGCTTTGCTCAGTTTGACACTCAAGCTTAAGCATTCAGAGATCTTTATACCGTGGACCCCCGGTAATCTGACCGTTTATAATATGGACACTTTTTAATTTGTACCCCGCTAATCTGCACGACGAGCAAATTAAAATTTGCTCAAACATCATTTGACACATGGAATAGAGTAAAGGAATGGAATGGAGTAAGCCGAACTTGAACGTTTTGAAATGGAACGTAGAATCAAAACAAAACAGCAAATAAGTCTACCAGAAACACGCTTCTCTGATGCTCATAGGGTTACTAAAAGTTAAAATTAAAAAGGACCCCGGTAATATGCACGTCGTTCAGATCAACGGAGGGATTAAGAGAATTCCAGACCAACATGAGAAAAAGGTGGAACAGGTAAACGTAAACAAAGTCTTCAAACGCATATTTTTAGAAAATCAAAACATACTTAAGCAATCTACTTAGTAGCCAGTATCCAGGCCCTTCTAACAATTAGTTATTATTTACACGATAATCTTTCAATGATCTTATCAGTTCTCCCAGCAGATTTTTAAAAATTCATCAGGAATTTGGTTCATAGTATCAAGTAGCTTACACGGAAACACACAACAACCCACCGATTGAGTTCTTTAAACTTACTATTGAGTTTTGCCTTTCATTCACTCTCACGTTTCTTGTCAAAAAAGCAAGAGCAAAACCACCCAATAGGGGTCTTTAGATGCGGCAAGTTAACGTTAAGTAAGTGATTCCAAACTTAATATTGAGTAGTTTGAAGTTGACGTTGGGTGAACACAACTTAGTAGAAAGTAGTTTGTTTACATGTACGCTCTTTAGCTGATGACTTGTTTACAACTTTTGAATTGACTTCCTAGTTTTGTGTTTCTTATCTCGGAAAGTGTTTGCCGAGCACCCAGTAACAAATTTAGCTCAAAGTTTCAGTGAAATATTTTCCAAGATTCAGCAAACAAACGTTATTTTTGCAGAGATCTCAGTAATTTATTTTTGCTTTTTCGCAGATTCGTAAAACGAAAATAAATGTGTAGACCCAAAATGCCACTTGGCTTGTTCAAATTGGTTGTTTACTGCTGTACGATTCAGTGAGCACTAATCTCGGCACTCATGGTTTGTCTTCCATGATTTGCTTGCCCATTCCAATCATATATTGTGAACCCTGAACAGCTTTTGAATGTTTAAGTCTTTTCAAATGATCATTTGACCAAACACGACCAATTTATTTTAAAGTCGGTCAGTCCGAAAGAGTACCTAACGAATGTGAAAAGCATACGGTTTAGTATAAAGTACCCACTAATGATTGGTTGTGGTATGTTATATACTGGAATGTAAAGGGTTTTGTCACTTTGATAGGAATTGAAACGGATAATTTCGCATTCCGGTCCGTTTTTATTTGACCTTTTTCGCGGGAAATATCTGTCAACCGTTTTCCCATTAAATCATCCCAGTTCGTACACTGTAACACCATGTTGAGATAACACCTCGCTTATGTGTCCGTGCATGATAAGCCAAACGTTTTATTATAATTAAAAATAGAAACTACATAATAACACACGAGTTTATAGAATTCCGAGGTGAAACGATTTGTGGTTTGCTTTATTCTTTGCTATCAGTGTTTGACCGATGGAGTCGCAATATTCCTTATTCGCTTCGTAGCGTAAACAACTAATCATAGAATATTCGC